CTCTTAAATAAAAATTATCAGCAGAGAGAGACTAATGGAAAGTAAAAAGGTGTTTCCTTTAAGCTACTGCATTTTTGTTTGTAATACAATTTTAAAAGTAGAATGCTTCTGTGGGTGGGAACAACAGGCTTGTGAACCAGAGAAGCTGAAATTTTACGTAGGACAAATTGCCTGCTGGGCACAAAAAAACTTCATTTACTAAGAAATTAAATACTGAAGGAATGGGTTTTTTTGTTTGTGAAGTGTGGAAACCTGCAACTCTTAAATAATTGTCAGCAGAGAGAGACTAATGGAAAGTAAAAAGGTGTTTCCTTTAAGCTACTGCATTTTTGTTTGTAATACAATTTTAAAAGTAGAATGCTTCTGTGGGTGGGAACAACAGGCTTGTGAACCAGAGAAGCTGAAATTTTACGTAGGACAAATTGCCTGCTGGGCACAAAAAAACTTCATTTACTAAGAAATTAAATACTGAAGGAATGGGTTTTTTTGTTTGTTTTTACAGTTTTATTTTACTGTTGATTGTAGCTTTCCTGTAGTAAAATAATAGGGAGAAACCACAAATGCAAAGAAACCTTTGGGCCATTTCTTTACCTGCTAAGAGGTGGCCAGGCAATTTGTCTTATGCTGTCCTGAATCAGTCCCTTTCCTCTGCCCCCCCTGTCAGCATGGAAAATATGCTGTTCTTTGAAGAAAGCTCACAGCAAAATAATGGTATAAGAAAAGAATGAAAGTAAAAAAAGTAGTAATATTTTCATCAAGGTTTTACCTTCTCATAAATTACAATTAGCTCTGACAGTAAGTCAGAAAAACTTAAAACACAAAAATATTCACATTTACATACAAACCACTGGTTTCCTCAAGTATACAGAGAGGAGACAGCAGTTATTCTGGTTTTTTAGCTGGCTTTTTTAATTGTCACTAAAACTTTCTGTGTTGCAGGTTTAGGAATGTATGAAACCCCACTATTCCTAGCTCATGAGGAAGAATCAGGTGGTCGCAGCGTTCCAACAACACCATTACAAGTAGCAGCACCAGGTAAATGGCAAGCAGTTTGCAGGCTGAAGTAAAAGCTGGAAACCTTGACTTCCCAGAAAACAATTTGATTATTGTTGTTATAGTGCTTATTGCTCCATCAGGAGTATTCCAGTAGCCCTTTCCCTGACATGCCAAAGATTTACGTAAATTTTCTGTAGGAAATTCAAACTAACTTTATGTTTATTTAAATTACTTTTCTTGTACAGTGACAGTTTTTACTGAAAGTGCTTCAGCTGATGCTTCAGAGCACGCTTCTCAGTCCGTTCCCATGGTTACAACATCGACTGGCAATCTGTCCACCACCACAGAGGCTGGAGCTGGTGATGATGGAGATGAAGTTTTTGCAGAGGCAGAATCTGAAGGGTAAACTGTGACTTGTTTGGTTCACTAAGATTTGATGTCATGTTAATTTTAATGGTGGTTTTTTTTTTTTTCCATCCAAGTGTGCCTGTAATTCATTTTTAATGTAACTTGTTCTGGTAGGAAGGACAGCTTTTACAGGATTTGGTAATTTTGCCAAGTAGTACAATCTGACCTTTTTGTCTAAAACCAAAGATTTTCTTCTGTTTTTTCTCCTTCTGTTTTAACATAGCTAATATTAAAGTCACCCAAAAAAATAAACTTGGGTGTTTTTTCAGAATGCAAAAGGCTCTGGAGTAGTCAAATACTGATGGCAAAGGCGCCAGTGGGGTTTGTAGAATAAAGGCTAAAGCATTCCTATTTATTCATAGAGAAAATCACTCCTTGTTACAAAGGAAGCACATACAGTGAGATCGTTCAGTAAAGGCAGTGCAAAAGTATGAAAGATGTAGCACGAGAGAGAGGAATAAGCAGTTCTTCAGAATTTGATAAATTATTTTGTCTCGCACTTTTTAAGTGCATTTTATGCTTTTACTTTTGATTTTTATTGGTTGCACAATAATAAAAGATGTGTAGTTCACAGTTTACCTAAACTTTTATCTACTGAATGCAGGAGGTAGGAGGTTTGGTCGTAAGAAATTTAAATGTTACTGCTACGAGTTAAATAAGCAACACAGTTTTCTTCATGCAGCACCAACTTGGATTGCAATAGTGTGCCTACAAGTAGGTAGAGCATAGGATGTTAAGGTCTCAAACTTGTTTTTTATAAAACCATCTAATATATACTTCTTATCTTTAGTGATTAGAAGTACATCCATAGAGGAACTAAATGGTTCACAGAACAATCTGTAGTTCTGAACAGGCTTCTAGCTTGATAGGAGAGCAAGTAGAGAAGTAGAGAACAGATGGTTGCCACAATTTATGAGTTTTAGTTATCGTCAACAGTTTTTGTTTCCTAATCAAAGTAAATGTATACTAAAAAGTGAGCTGCATTTAAACCACATAGAATGTTTACTTTTTTTTTTCCGGCCCTATAATGCCTTTTGGGAGTAGAGAAGTAGAGAACAGATGGTTGCCACAGTTTATAAGTTTTAGTTATCGTCAACAGTTTTTGTGTCCTAATCAAAGTAAATGTATACTAAAAACATAGAATGTTTACATTTTTTTTTCCAGCCCTATAATGCCTTTTGGGTTTGCCTTTGTCTTTTGAAGATGGAGTCCAATTAACTTAGGTATCACACCAAGTGATCTTTAGGCATAACCAGTCAGTGGTGGTCTCTCCACTTCATTCTTCCCCTGCCTAAACATACACACCACTGCCACATTAGGCTTTTTCATTATTGTTATCAAATAGCTTCTATGACCTTCTCTGAAAGACAATTAATATGCTGAATATGCATCTAGAGTTGGGCTGCATATCAAGGAAATTACATTGTTATTTTTCTAAAAGCCAGATAAAGCTCTCAAGTTGGGGTGGGGTGAAATGACAAAACAATAAAACCCATGAAAATTTCTGGGGAAAGACATTTGCATAGGAATCTTTCTACTCCAAGATGATGTTTTTTTCCTGAGCTTTTTGACACTGTGTAAATATACATACATGTTTTTCCTCCCCCTCCTTCTCTTCTAGAATCACGTCAGAAGCGGGCCTAGAAATTGATAGCCAGCAAGAAGAAGAATCTGTTCAAGCATCTGATGAGTCAGATCTTCCTTCAACTAGTCAAGATCCTCCTTCTAGTTCATCTGCAGGTGTGTGTTAATTACTGGAAACAGTTGTTTCGTACCATTTCATTACATGTGGGAACTTTCTGGACCAGCATTAGGCATTGCTGATAGCCAAGATACACAAAATAAGACAGAACTCTTAGAGCAAGGTCACGTTTTGTTTGCCATTAAGACTATAGGCATCAATTTTTTCTTGGACTGCAGTAACTAGAGTAGGCCATAGTAAGAATAACGCTTCAAGGAGCACAAGTTACTGATACTTTGGTGATTTTGTCCATTGATATGTTTGATGTCAGATTTAAAAACACCTTTTCATTCAATTAAATCATCAAAGAACAGTGAGTAAATCAGTGTTATCAATTTACCACTTAGCATAGATGATGAAAGAGTCCCAGACTTGCTTGTTTTGAGGCTTTTATTTATATCAGAGATGTCAGTGAAATAAGGATGCACCTTCATAATTTTAAAGTAAATTCAAGAGCATAATACAGATCAAACCATGTAAACATAAACACTGAGAACCTCTGCTAGACAGTCTTTCCTGCATTTCCACCTATCACAGATACGAGCAGTAACCAGCCTAAGCCATTTCGACGTGTCAGACTTCAGCCACCGACATTAAGAACTGGTGTTCGTGGTCGTCAGTTCAACAGGCAAAGGGGTAAGTGTTCATGGTTGCTCAAATTCAGACTCTTCAGAACATATTTTTAGTACTGTCTTCCTGTGGGGACCATATATGAAGTACTACTTTATAAGCCTGTCTTTGCTTGTAAGGCACTAAATAATACAGCATCCCATATATGAAGTACTACTTTATAAGCCTGTTTTGCTTGTAAGGCACTAAATAATACCTACCCTATCTTTCAATGTTACCCTAAGAGCTCTGTAGGTTTGTTTTAGTATGTTAGTTTGAGCACTTTTTTAGATAGGCAAACTTTCTTCTTACAGGGCACTTGGTTCTTATCAGTGGAGAGAGAGTAAAGTGCAGTTGATCCTAAACTAAGCAAAGGTTTAAGAAGATTTAAAAAAATAGTGTTAGTATATAAGTTTAGAAATCTTTTGGTTTTAACATTACATGTCAGTTTCCTGTAGGGTATGTAGGGATTCCAGTTACTATCTTGCTATTATCTCACTGATTTGAAGAAAAAAACAACAGGTTTGCAGAAGTGTTACAGATTTTTGTAATGCAATATAGAGTTAAACCATGACAATAAATTATTGTTTGCAACTTCTGTATTAAGAAAAATAGTTAGATGAATTGTATTCAGTTTGGAGTTATTTTAACATTGTGGAAGATTTGATACTAGCAATGAAATACAGGTATCTGGTATTTTAAAGGAAAAAAGAAAAAGTGAGGAGGCGGACCCACAATAGATCAAGTCTATTACTATTTCTTTAATAATAAATGGGAGGGACTAACTGATTTCAAATGTGGTAAGAATGCTTTTGGCACAAGTCAACAACATTCTTTTAAATGACAGAAGTGCAGGGTGTCCGTATCACCAGGCTTTTAGGGAGGAAGCTTGGATTTTATCAGAAAGGAAGTGCTACACTGCAGTAGCAATTCCCTACAGAAGGATGAAGTATTAAATGTACCAATGGCTTATTAAAAGGGTGAAAAGGATTTCTCCTAATGCATTTGTTTTCTTTCCCAACACAGGTGTAACTCATGCAATGGGAGGCAGAGGAGGCCTGAACAGAGGAAATATTAGTTAAATGATCTGTAAAGTAATTACAGCTGTGTATACAGAAGTGCCAGTTTGCCCGTGGTTCCTTTAGTGTAATGAAGCCAGAGCTTAAAGCAGCATTTTATACTTAGATTTGTGTGCACACATTTCAATGTCCTTATTAATAAAATTAGACAAAATGTCAACATTCAAATGGCATCTTTTTTTTAAAATCCTCTGCTGTGCATCACTTGGTAGGACAGTTGTACCAGTCTTTGGATACAGTCTTTCCTGTGAGTGCAGTAACAGGTCTTGCTATTCTTTTGCCAACATCCAAACTGTAGTACCGGTCTGAAACAAAGATATGTCAGAATTAAATTCCAGAATTACATTTAGTACATGGAAAGAATCTTGATGTTAAAGATTTCCTTTTAACTTCATTTAGGCATAAATAACGAATTTTTCATTCCACATAACATATGTGGAGTTGAGGGGCCATAACAATTAAGTTTTGTCCTCAACTTTGTCTTTTACATGTCCTTCTTTGTGTTTAGCTAAGTTTTATAGTACTGCTAATAATTAAAACTGTCCCAAGAATGGGGTGTAGGGGAGAAGGCTCTTATACTGCTAGAACACAGAAATAGCGTTAAGAATTTGGAAATAGAACAAACTAGAAACAAAACAATCCTGCACTGACTACAAAAGTGGGAACTCTCTGGTCCCCAAGTGTGAATTGGCCTGTGTTAAGGTTAGGAATTAGATAACACTGGCAGAGACTTACTTTAGCTGTATCCTCATACAGGATACTAGTTCTTAGGGTTTGTTTTTTGTTTTTTTTTTTGAATGATCCAGAAAATTCTGAGGAATGCTTTTGCATGATTCTGGCTGGAGGGAAAGGATTTACCTAATCTGGAATCATTAGTAATTATTTTCTGTGAAGCAAAATTATTCTGCTTCCTACCTTTTTTTGTTTTGTTTTGTCAGAAACATAGTTTTATGGAAGCCAGTGAAAAAAGTAGCAATGTGCAGTGGTCCAAGGATTTCAATCTATCATTAATACAATTCTGCATTTAAGTGTCAGGTTTTTTTGTCACTTCATAAGCCTGAACTCTGATGTTTTCCATAACTGGCTAGCTTGAATCATTGTACCTTGTTGCTGCTAGTTGTCCTGTAATTATTGAATTGTTTTAATAGAAACATCTCTCAGTTGAAGGCAACGTTTTAATTCTCAGGACTTTGAGTAGTGCTTAAAATTAGTCTTGCGGAATCACAAGTGGTAACCTCATGCTTTGGAAAGCTCTGAGATACATGGGCTGCTTTCTTTCCCCATCCCTTAGTCTTTTGAGATATATAGTGACTTGCATTAGCTTTAACTTACTGTAAGAGAAGGCGTAATAATCGTAGCCGTCTGGCTTATTGTGGTTGGGTAGTGATACAGTTGAATGAATTACTTTCGGGAGCCCTCTCCAGTAGGTAGTCATTTTGATTTCCTTACGCAAAACTCCTGCAAGCAAAAGAAAACTTAATTTAGGAGGTATCACAGTGTGTTTGCTGTAAGCTATTGTTTGCTTGTGTCATCTACAGCAAGCAAGATCTATTGGATTAAAAAATTTTAAAAGTACTATATTTAAAAAAAAAAAAAGGGGGGAACAGAATGTTGTGTTTCAGAAACTACTACGATTAAAATGGTTGTATAAAAGAAACTTAATAAACGTAAGTTACCAGATGGATATGGGTTGATTCTGACACTCTGAATAACACTTGGCATTCCTGCTGCACGTTGGAAGCGTCTCCTTATTACAAGTCTTGGGACAAAAGCTGGGTATCTTACGGTAACCTGGGTTCTTCTTCTTTGACACTTCTTAGCTGGTTCTTGTCTGTACACATACTGTTGCATGTTGCCATCTAAAACAGATGTTTGTTTCATTTGGTTAAAAAAACCCAACAAACCAAACCCAACCAAATTAACAAAAAACCCCAAACCCCCAGCTCGATCAGATATGAAAATGCCATTGATATCCGTATTACACACAAGAAATCAATAGCATCATTTTAATACAGCTGTGGCAGCCTTCAGCTTTTCATATCAAATCCTACATTTTGAGAGTGAAAAAAAAAAAAAAGCCTTGCTCTCTAAATCCAATGTATACTTGTAGATGTAGTGAGCAGCACTTCTGCAGCCTCATTACAGTTACTGTAGTAAGTACAATTCCAGGGGAACTGCTTTTGCTGCTGTCAATCCTGTTTATCAAGGAGAGGGTTAAGACCATCATTTTAGGCTGCATGAGAGGAGGGCTAGAGTCCAGTAATAGGATTTGCATTTTCTTAAACTCTGCTTTTTAAATTCAGATAACAATTCTTATGTTGGCAGTACATCATTCATATAAAATAAGGAAATTAATTTAAAATAAGAAATAGGGAAATTTCCATGCATAGTTACGAACTAGTAAGATTAAAGCCTCGCTGTCTCTAATTAACTTAAGAATAATACGGTTTTGCCACCAGATAAAATTTACTTTAATCTGTGACAATGCTGGATTCTGTCCCTTACAGCCCTATTTTAACATGCACTTAACGACCTGTAAGTACTAACACAATTTTTTTTAAGCTTCGGGCTATTTTTTGAGCACCTAGTACACTGACATCATATATGTTTCTGGTTTTGGAAGAAATGTCTCCAGTCAAGAGAAACTCTGTTTTATTCCCAACAAAGGCAATTCAAGCATTTTTTGATCATCTGTGAGCTTCTGAAATATGACACATACCTTTTTTGATAAAATAAACAGATTCTGGTCGGTTGTTGTATCTTGCCACAGGAAGCGTTGCTACTATTTTCCCACTAAGCCCTGCAAATCCATTTGCAAGAGGTTTGGGGTAGCCTGGATCCATAACACCATTTGTGAAACGCCAATATAGGGGGCCCTAAGGATTTAAGGAAGATAGAAGCTTTAGTGGAAATTTATTCTTGGTAATTCAGCTTCAACATAGACCTGAAAAATACTATTAACAGTAGCATTTTGATAACTACATGACAAAAACTGACTGGAAGCACTCCTCCTACATCCATTAAAACCAAGAAAAAAATACTACGATTTCATAAAATACCTCCTTGCAGTCTTTTGACACAGCCTTTGAATCGGGATAGATGATTTTACAAATGAATGGTAAGAGTGGTTACTGAGCAAGGCCTTGCTGAATCTGGACATCTTCACAGGTAGGAAAAAACTGCTTGAGTTCCAGCACTGAACGATTAATTGGGAAATAACCGTGTAATGTCTTTAATGAGGTGTTTACACTTCACTGTCGCCTCTCAGGGATGGAAATGTATTGGGAACAAATTTAGGCCGTGTTTGGGCAAGGGAAAGACGTGCTAAAATACCCATATTTTAAACATATTTTTAAAAGTTGGGCTTTTTTGAAGTAAAAATACTACCTGCTTATCAGTTACTCTGTCAATGTTTTGTCCCCCAGCTAACCACGGCGGGGGGGAAAAACACTGAATTGAGGTTTTTCCTGAGAAGCATAATCTCAGTGCAGAGGAGGCTGAGGAGGAGGCACTTGGCTTCACCCACAGAGCTTCAACCCCACCACGCTGGTTGAAAAAAACACATTTTTTTCTATAAAAAGCAATGCAGCCCTAGAACAAGGCACAGTACCCCCCGCTTCTGCAAGCAGCCAAAACCCGGACCGTTTTTTTTGTTTGTTTGTTTAGCTGCCCTGCCCCTCAGGCTCCCTCCCCGGAGGGAGGGGCTCCCCACCTTGATGAAGAAGGTCTTGCCGTCGCAGTTGCACCTGGAGAAGACGGAGTCGATGGGGGACGGGATGCCCCAGCCGTCGGTGATCCGGCGAGGGTTGGTGGTCGGCGGGCTCCTGCCGTTCAGCAGCCAGTAGTAATGGCCTGCGGGGCGGGAGGAAACGCGGTGAAAAGCGCCCGGGCCGGCGGAGGGAGAGAGGCCCCACCGTGAGTACTGCCCCCACTTTTGGGCACTTTACCACAAAAAAAAAGACGCTGAGGTGCTGGAGCGGGTCCAGAGAAGGGCCACAAAGGCGGTGAGGGGTCTGGAGAGCAAGTTTTGTGAGAAAAGCTGAGGGAGCTTGGGGGTGTTTTTTCTGGAGAAAAGGAGGTCGAGGTGGGTGAGGCAGCTGAGGGAGCTTGGGGGTGTTTTTTCTGAAGAAAAGGAGGCTGAGGTGGGTGAGGCCTCACTCTCTACAATTCCCTCAAAGGAGGGTGTAGCCGGGGGGGGTCGGTCTCTTCTCCCACGGAACAAGAGTAAAAGGCCTCAAGTTGTAGGGGGGGTCGGTCTCTTCTCCCAAGAAACAGGTAACGGAACAAGAGTAAAAGGCCTCAAGTTGCGCTGAGGAAAGTTTTGACTGGATATTTGGCAAAATTTTTACACTGAAAGGATTATTAAGCATTGGAACAGGCTTCCCAGGGAAGTGGTGGTGTCGCCATATTTACACTGAAAGGATTATTAAGCATTGGAACAGGCTGCCCATGGAAGCGGTGGAGTCGCCATACCTGGATGTATTCAAAAGACGGGCAGACATAGTGCTTAGAGACGTGGTTTAGTGATGGTTTTTATCAGAGTTAGGTTGATGGTTGGACTAGATGATTGTTGCGGGCAGAATGAGCAGGAGCTCAGAGTTAGGTTGATGGTTGGACTAGAAGATTGTTGCAGGCAGAATGAGCAGGAGCCGGGGTGGGGGGAAGCAGGGAAGAGGGAGAAAAACAGGGAGAGCATGCTGCCACAATGATCTGAAAGGTGTCTTCCCAGCTAGGGGATTCTGTGATTCTATGAAAGGCGCTGGTAATGGGCCGTGCCTGTCCGGGGCAAGTGACAGTGGTGTGGGAAGAGGGGGTTTGGCTGGGGCCAGCCTACCTCGGAAGACAGCCAGGGTGCCATTCTGCAGGGCCACCATGCCGTCCGCCGGCTTCCCGCTGCACAGGTCCTTGTCCGCTGCAAAACACCAGTGGTTCAGGTTTAACATTCACCAGAAAGCACATTACCTCCCCTGCCCACTGCCGGTAGCACTGTGATTGTTAACTGATGGCAGGTGTTGAGCCTTGTTCAGGCCTCTCTGCCTGGCACTAGTTGTGCAAAGGGTTTAATTTCTCGTTTGAGAAAGTTTCTTGGAAAGGCTGGCTTTCCTGTTTTAGTCCCAGGAGTGTAAGACCAGCAGTTTACCGGTCTGATTACAGATAGTACCACTTATTGCTTACCTGAATACCTGTAATTCAGAAAAAGATCTATAAATGCATTGCACGCTACACTCATTTAATTTCTTCCTGCTCTGGGATGTTTACTTGATGTTTCTCCAAGCTGCTCTAGTGCATTCCCCTACTACATTTACTTTCAGTTAAATATAAAGGAAGGATGAATTTATTTTGGACCAAAATCCAAGTATTTTCCACCTAAAAAGCTTTTTTTTTTTTTTTTTTCAAAATATATGTCAATATCTGATTGAAAAATTGCCCAAGAACCTAGGGGCCATATCAGATTAAAATAAACTGTGAGGACGTGAAAAATGCTGTGGCACAAAGTACAGAGGAAAAAGAGTACAGGGAAAAGACTTCTTGTCTGTCTTATATGATAGATAAGAAGTCTTTTTTTGTATGTGATTACAAAATGACAGTACACATGTACACATGTGTAACTGGATATTCGGCCTGACTCCCTAGCAATGTTTTCATGAGACTTAAGAATGTATCTTCTTTGTCCTTTCTTTCACAGTACTTAGAGCAAATATTTTTCAGCTGAGCTGATTACTGAAACAGGATCACGCTCTAAACTACATGGAGAATTTCCATAAAAACACAACTGAAAAACTGAAGTACCAGTATTGAGGTCCTAGCTGACCACCATAGTTGAGCACAGGAGTGCCATGTTCTTCTGGCACCAGATATTGCATGTCCTTTACTCACGTGTTTCACTGTGCTCTCTGATTGAATTACTGGTGCTTTTGTACCTACTGGAATGCAATTACCTTGTGTTTCTCCAGTTGAAATTGGCAAGTCCGCAGTTTGTATTAAAGGCTTGTTAATTACTTCAGGCTCTTCTTTTACTGGCAGAGTTTCAGGGTCAGATGGACGAGGCTCATCTCTCGTGTCAGTAACTTCCTGGAAATGTATAGTTGGCTTGGCTGTCCCTTTAGAAACAATAAACATTTCTTCTATTGTGTCTTTTTTCTCTCTTGTAGTGGTTTCTTTGGTAACTGTAGTTTCCTCTCCCTTGTCAATATTAGGGGCCTTTTCAGTCGCATCTTCCATTTCTTTTTCAGGTATGAGGCTAGTTTCTTTGATGGTCGTTACTTCTTTTTCATCACCTGTTATTGTCTCTACAGCACCACAAGCCTCCCTGGGTTTAGGAGTTGAATCTGTTTTATCGGTTGCTGTCAACACAGTGGGCTTGGGCATGGGAGTTGTAGCTGCTGCAGCTGCAGTTGTTACCGTTGCTTCTCCCACAGGGCTTTCATCTTTTTCAGCTGTTAAGGTCTCTTTTGGTAGGGTAGCCTTGTCTTCTTCAGCTGGGGTTACTTCTTTTTCTGCAGCTGTTGTTGCAGTCTTTTTGTCCACAGTAGTTGCTTCTGATTCAGCTGCTGTAGTGACAGCTGGCTTGGCTGTTATCACTGTAGTTACAGTAGTTGTGTCTTTTCTGCTTGTAAAAATGTCTTTAAGCACAGTAGTTTTGTCTTTCTTGGGTGTTGTTATCTCTTTGTTCACCGTGGTTGTCTCTATTGTAGTTGTCGACTCTTCAGTTACAGGAGTAGTAACAGTTTTAGCTGTTGTTTTGTCTTTCTCAGTTGTGGCTACAGTCTCAGTAGTACTGGCTGTGGTTACTGCTGTCCTTTCCACTGCTGTAGTTGTCTCTTTTGCAGTTGTGCTGGTTGATACATCGGGTGCAGAAGTTGTAGTTTTCTTTTCAGTGGTTGGTGCTTCTGTTGCCTCAGGGGTTGTGTCTTCAGGTTTGGGGGTGGTGGGAGAGTCAGCTTCAGTCGGTGGTGCCTCTGTGGCCTCTGGTGTTGTTTCTTCAGGCTTGGGGGTGGTGGGAGAGTCTGCTTCAGTCGTTGGTGCCTCTGGCGTTGTCTCTTCAGGTTTGGGAGTGGTGGGAGAGTCAGCTTCAGTCGGTGGTGCCTCTGTGGCCTCTGGTGTTGTTTCTTCAGGCTTGGGGGTGGTGGGAGAGTCTGCTTCAGTCGTTGGTGCCTCTGGCGTTGTCTCTTCAGGTTTGGGAGTGGTGGGAGAGTCAGCTTCAGTCGGTGGTGCCTCTGTGGCCTCTGGTGTTGTTTCTTCAGGCTTGGGGGTGGTGGGAGAGTCTGCTTCAGTCGTTGGTGCCTCTGGCGTTGTCTCTTCAGGTTTGGGAGTGGTGGGAGAGTCAGCTTCAGTCGGTGGTGCCTCTGTGGCCTCTGGTGTTGTTTCTTCAGGCTTGGGGGTGGTGGGAGAGTCTGCTTCAGTCGTTGGTGCCTCTGGCGTTGTCTCTTCAGGTTTGGGAGTGGTGGGAGAGTCAGCTTCAGTCGGTGGTGCCTCTGTGGCCTCTGGTGTTGTTTCTTCAGGCTTGGGGGTGGTGGGAGAGTCTGCTTCAGTCGTTGGTGCCTCTGGCGTTGTCTCTTCAGGTTTGGGAGTGGTGGGAGAGTCAGCTTCAGTCGGTGGTGCCTCTGTGGCCTCTGGTGTTGTTTCTTCAGGCTTGGGGGTGGTGGGAGAGTCTGCTTCAGTCGTTGGTGCCTCTGGCGTTGTCTCTTCAGGTTTGGGAGTGGTGGGAGAGTCAGCTTCAGTCGGTGGTGCCTCTGTGGCCTCTGGTGTTGTTTCTTCAGGCTTGGGGGTGGTGGGAGAGTCTGCTTCAGTCGTTGGTGCCTCTGGCGTTGTCTCTTCAGGTTTGGGAGTGGTGGGAGAGTCAGCTTCAGTCGGTGGTGCCTCTGTGGCCTCTGGTGTTGTTTCTTCAGGCTTGGGGGTGGTGGGAGAGTCTGCTTCAGTCGTTGGTGCCTCTGGCGTTGTCTCTTCAGGTTTGGGAGTGGTGGGAGAGTCAGCTTCAGTCGGTGGTGCCTCTGTGGCCTCTGGTGTTGTTTCTTCAGGCTTGGGGGTGGTGGGAGAGTCTGCTTCAGTCGTTGGTGCCTCTGGCGTTGTCTCTTCAGGTTTGGGAGTGGTGGGAGAGTCAGCTTCAGTCGGTGGTGCCTCTGTGGCCTCTGGTGTTGTTTCTTCAGGCTTGGGGGTGGTGGGAGAGTCTGCTTCAGTCGTTGGTGCCTCTGGCGTTGTCTCTTCAGGTTTGGGAGTGGTGGGAGAGTCAGCTTCAGTCGGTGGTGCCTCTGTGGCCTCTGGTGTTGTTTCTTCAGGCTTGGGGGTGGTGGGAGAGTCTGCTTCAGTCGTTGGTGCCTCTGGCGTTGTCTCTTCAGGTTTGGGAGTGGTGGGAGAGTCAGCTTCAGTCGGTGGTGCCTCTGTGGCCTCTGGTGTTGTTTCTTCAGGCTTGGGGGTGGTGGGAGAGTCTGCTTCAGTCGTTGGTGCCTCTGGCGTTGTCTCTTCAGGTTTGGGAGTGGTGGGAGAGTCAGCTTCAGTCGGTGGTGCCTCTGTGGCCTCTGGTGTTGTTTCTTCAGGCTTGGGGGTGGTGGGAGAGTCTGCTTCAGTCGTTGGTGCCTCTGGCGTTGTCTCTTCAGGTTTGGGAGTGGTGGGAGAGTCAGCTTCAGTCGGTGGTGCCTCTGTGGCCTCTGGTGTTGTTTCTTCAGGCTTGGGGGTGGTGGGAGAGTCTGCTTCAGTCGTTGGTGCCTCTGGCGTTGTCTCTTCAGGTTTGGGAGTGGTGGGAGAGTCAGCTTCAGTCGGTGGTGCCTCTGTGGCCTCTGGTGTTGTTTCTTCAGGCTTGGGGGTGGTGGGAGAGTCTGCTTCAGTCGTTGGTGCCTCTGGCGTTGTCTCTTCAGGTTTGGGAGTGGTGGGAGAGTCAGCTTCAGTCGGTGGTGCCTCTGTGGCCTCTGGTGTTGTTTCTTCAGGCTTGGGGGTGGTGGGAGAGTCTGCTTCAGTCGTTGGTGCCTCTGGCGTTGTCTCTTCAGGTTTGGGAGTGGTGGGAGAGTCAGCTTCAGTCGGTGGTGCCTCTGTGGCCTCTGGTGTTGTTTCTTCAGGCTTGGGGGTGGTGGGAGAGTCTGCTTCAGTCGTTGGTGCCTCTGGCGTTGTCTCTTCAGGTTTGGGAGTGGTGGGAGAGTCAGCTTCAGTCGGTGGTGCCTCTGTGGCCTCTGGTGTTGTTTCTTCAGGCTTGGGGGTGGTGGGAGAGTCTGCTTCAGTCGTTGGTGCCTCTGGCGTTGTCTCTTCAGGTTTGGGAGTGGTGGGAGAGTCAGCTTCAGTCGGTGGTGCCTCTGTGGCCTCTGGTGTTGTTTCTTCAGGCTTGGGGGTGGTGGGAGAGTCTGCTTCAGTCGTTGGTGCCTCTGGCGTTGTCTCTTCAGGTTTGGGGGGGGTGGGAGAATCTGTTTCGGTCGGTGGTGCTTCTGTGGCCTCTGGTGCTGTTGTGTCTTCAGGTTTGGGGGTGGTGGGAGAGTCATCCGTTATTGGTGCGTCTGTCGTCACAGCAGTGTTCTCTTCAGCTTCTAGGGGGTCAGTGGGAGAATCTGCCTCAGTTATTGGTTCCTCTGTGGCATCAGGGGTTGTCTCTTCAGCTTTTGGTGTGGTAGTAGAGTCAGTCTTGGTCGTTGGTGCCTCTGTGGCTTCAGGGGTTGTGTCTTCAGGTTTGGGTGTGGTGGGAGAATCTGTGTGAAATTGCACTTAATTAGCTTTATAGTGGTTGAAACATTTATTTAAAATGCCAAAAAAATATATAATGTGGAAGCCTAAGCTAAATTGATAAGTTGCCAGTTTATGGACTCAGGTAACTGTCAAAAAATAAGTAACTTAAAAGAGCCAAACTAACCTGGACTGGGCTAAATTTAATTCCTTTTGTCTGCCTGGGACTTTGCAGCAGCTTAGCTAAGTTCTGTGAACTCCTTTTGGCTAACCTGTCGCAAATCCAAGTGCAGCATGGAAGATTTTAGTTTGGTGTTTGTAGGTAAGGCCAACTGGCTTTTCCATCCTCTTTCTTGGAAGCGTAACCTCTCTATAAAATACAGGCCTTCTGATAAGACAATTTCCGTCTTAGTCTGTTCTTTTGATTTATTCCTTTGACCTTAATTATAATATAGCCTGCACCGATGACCTGGGCTTGAATGAGAGAGGTAGGGAAATGGGAGGAAAACAAATTTTCTGAATACAGACACCTGACTGCATCTCCTACTGTATCTTCTCATATCTTGGAAGTTTTTCCTCTTCGTGATGTACAACTTTAAGACTTTCTTTACTTGTATATATAATTACATTGACTTGAGTCAATCTGTTAATATAGCTATGTTCAGCAAAAAGTAACAGTAAATGCTTCTCCATTTTAATTTCTCACTAGGTGTTCTCTCACTGAAGTTTTCCCATTTAGTTCTGTTTTCACATAGGTTTTGTGTTTTGATTTAAAATCTTTTTCTGTGATTCCTGCTGTGTTGCTGTCTCCCGTTACAAATGAATTGGCATTTGTTGAAAACCTGAAAAAACTAAGTGCAGTATCACGTGGTTTGGGGCCATGTTGCTCAGCTTTTGATCAAATATAAAAATATCTGAGCTATTGGTGATGGTCACGGCCTGAAGACTGTTAGCAGCATCAATGCAGTGTCTCTCCCAGCCGACTGGAAGAACTTAAAATCCTACGGTGTGATAAATAATCCCTGCGTAAATGTACTGTAGAAAAAGTGCAGTATGAGCAGAGTGTTACAGAATTGGTTTTCCTCCCATCCAATGTGTCTAAATACCATAAGCCAAGTGGGATCCCGTTAATGGTTATTTTAATTTCCTTAACTTTGTTTCATTTTACCTGCTATATGGATTTTTGCAATACGAAATTTCTGAATTTAAAATAAAAATTGAAATATGTAAGGATTAAAATATTGGCCAAAATTGACTTCTAGTCTCATTTCATGCTTGTTACTTCAGGTTTCAAGTTCAAACTGATCTCCCAAGTTATCACTTAAAATGCTGGAACAGAATATAAAACAACACAGGAAAGCAACATATTTTCCATTCAGAAAAAAAATAAATGATATGTGTTTTCTGAATCTGCTTGAGGCCTGGCTTGGTTAAAGCTCGAGAAGCCTGCTAGGAGACTTTCCTGTCCTGGTCCTGCCAATTCATTGCTGCCCCAAAATACAACACCCTTCCTGTTCCAGCTGTGGACTTGGTCCAAAACTGACAACGGCATGTAAGATATTTTTGGAAGATGTGTGAAAATCCAATAAAGACGAAGGAGACATCACCACACTGCAAAATTTGTTAAGTGAACTCTTCAAAGTCAGTATTCTGAGGTCTAGGTGAGGTAATTAGTTTATAAACGGAGCGGTTCCAAGCTTGGTAACTGTCTGGTAATGTCTTGCATCGGCTTTCTATTTCTAGAGCAGGAAAATGGTCTTTAATGTTCCTTCAGGTAACACCCATCCTGTTTCATTCATACACTTTCCTACCTTCCATAACTTCATGGGGCTGTGTTACTTCCTCTGGCTCCTTTTCCTCATTTGTGGATGACCTTTTAGATGTTGATTTGTTTGGTGGAGGAGTCTTAGGTGTTGGCTTTTCTGTGTGTGCTGAAAGAAATAATATAATCTGTTACAGCAAGTAGTGCTATCCCAATGCAGGGTATAGATGTTCTCCACTTTTGGATGGGTTGGGGAATTCACAGGAGTTGGACCTTCCTTCATTACTACTAGATTATCTAATTACTAGATTACTAGATGAGGTATTAGGAAGAAATTCTTTCCTGTGAGGGTGGTGAGACACTGGAACAGGTTGCCCAGAGAAGCTGTGGATGGTCCATCCCTGGAGGGGTTCAAGGCCAGTTTGCATGGGGCTTCGAGCAACCTGGTCTAGTGGAAGGTGTCCCTGCCCATGGCAGGAGGGTTGGAACTAGATGATTGTCACACATACTGTGGGTGACACTTCTGCTGGTGAATTAGAGTATGGCTAGTGCCAAAAGAGGCTAATGCAAAATAAAACTTTACCCTCAGAATTTGTATCTTGGTGATGGCTTCCAGTATATCTACCTTTATGCATCTCTAAAGTAATAATGCTTGAGAAAATGCCCAATTTATTTTTGAAATTAGGTTTTGTTATTTTTGTTTTGTTTTTTGTTCAGTAGCTAACTTCTTTAGTTCTAAGAAGCCTGCACAGTTAATGTTTTATGATAATGCAAAGCATCTATATTTAAATACATATAGAAAAAATACAGCGATAAAGAAATTTCTTACCCTCTTTACAGTGTGCTGCGTAGTCTGGGCAACATTTGCCATATCTTTCACAGTCTGCATCACAGTCACACTCTCTTCCTCTTTCAAAGGCTTCAAAGCAACGTCCTTTGCAGGAGACTGCTGCGTGAGGCAGAACAAGACAGTTAGTGTTTTTGGCTGGCTCACATTTAACTCTGAGACCTTTCTACAGTGAAGTCATTGGCTTAAGCTGATGTAAAGAACAGTTTCATAAAATCAGGTGGTTATTCTGGTCTGATCCAGAACTTGTTTGTGTAATTCAGGGGCTTGGATCAGGCCATACAACCATGACTGTCTTTGCCATTGCAGTAATTGAGACAATATAGAATTGGTAGTAGGATAAAATGTCACCTCAGAGTTCACTCAAGCTACATCCCATCATAGAAACCTTCCATTTCTCTAATCAAATAGCTGTTATCTCAATAATAGTATTTTATTTCTGGGTTGGGTTTTCAAAGAGGTATTCATCAGGGTACCACTTTGAATTAAAAATTATGTGTCTACCAAAGCATTTCTGAAAAATATTTTACCTAAGTAGGTCATTACCAAGTGTCTTTGGTCAAATAATGCAACTTAATTGTGTGAATGAGTAAATGAAGTCACAGAGTGACTATTTTTGAAATGTTATTCTAGTCTGTTTAATACAGTTCTTAAATTATTAGTACTAAAGGAGTATCTACCATGTTTTGACATGATTGATAACCACAAGCTTTTAATATGTCATTATTCGTTGACTTCTGACAGCTTCAGTGCCTACAGTACTTCTGTTTCATATGAAATAATGACCAAATTGTTTTGGAAAGTGTGCACACAGCTATTACAGACTTCAGCAAAGCACGCTTGCTGTATTTTTCAAGGACAAAATTTGATCCTAAACATTTACATTACAAACTAATATTTCTTAACATTTAGTAATACCTTCAATGTTAAATTGAAGTAACTATATTAAACCTGAAGTGGATATTTTTTGAGGATGTTTAGCATCTCACAGAATTGAGTCAGCAATTAACTATCACTTGGTATTTCCAGAATTTATCATATGATCTATTATTCTTGTCCTGTATCTTTTTGGTACATACGTCTCTATTGAAGTCATTGTCTTTGCGGCACACGGGCATAAAATCATATTTTACAATTAAATCACCCTTTAGCAAAATAAGGATTTCTGTGTGGGCAGATTCTGAACACCTTTTAACCAGTGTAGATGTTGAGTGAGTCTCTTGATGTCAGTTGATTCATTTCATGTACCTAGGTGAGAATTGTTTTTATTTTATGATGTTAGGGCAGTTTTCATTCATAAAAATGCTTGACGTTTCTCTGATTTAGTCAGCATTAATCACATATTAACCGGGCAACAGTCCTTAGTCAGACTGCCTTCATCCTGTAAGGATGGTGGCTACTGCACTTGCATGAATTCGGTGATTTAGGGTAGAACAGGGAAGACTTCCTCGAGCCTTAATCATTTTATTAAATGTTATGTAGATGCCACAATAACTTTAGAGTCTGACCCACAATAAATAAATAGCCTGCATAATTAAAGTGCCTCTGTATTTTCAGTTATGAAAAATGCTGATGACCCCTCAAAAATCAAAGTCAGGAAGGGGAAGACAGAAGTGAGAGTGTTTCCAGTGCGTGTCAGAATTAGCACTTTAGGAAGCGCTCCATCTGCGTTTGGAACAACACTCAGCCTGTGTTGCTGGATCTAAGAGGTCTTATCTTACACCTGTAATCTTATTAGCACTACAGTGTAGTGTAGCAAACTGCAGTTGTCTAAATCACTGATATTTTTGATGTTGGTGATTCATAGGAAGTTTTTTTTCAACTCTCAGTAAAACACTTTGAAGCACTTGTATTTATTTACACTATACAATTTTGCATATAAATAAAGCATATAAAATATTACTCAACCAACCATCTTTTCCATCAGACTCTGGATGTGGCTGTGATCCAGAGTCAATTTCTGTCCATGGAAGGACACCCTCTGATTTGCATTATACCTACAGCCTCCACACTTCTTAAATCTGAGTTGGAATGTCCCAGAATTTCTTCCTGGAAAATCTTGAATTTGCTTTTACCATTGTTATTTTTTTTTGTATGAGAGACAAACAGGTACAGTACAAATGCACTAAGGACAAGAAAACAAGCAGTAGGTTGCTCTGCTGTTCTGTAAAGCAAAATCCTTTTCTCAGTGATAACCTGTGGATACACAATTTTCTCTGAATGGGTTGCGAGAGGTTATCACTGCGTTTTTGAGGGGGAGAACAATACATGGATGAGAGGAGAACAAGGACACAGTCAACTAAAAGAGACATTTAAGCATTCAGAGGAGAGACACTGGTGTGGTAGGGAGTTGGAACAAATGGGAGGGGAAGTCTTGCTGATAGGAGCTGGCCGTTTATGGGAACTTACCCACTGTGCAGACTTTGTTGAAGTCAGGGCAGCACTCCATGTAGTGTTGACAGCTAAAATCACAGTGGCAGTCATGCTCTCTAGAATACCCTTCCCCACATCTCCCTGTACAGCTTGATAAATCTAAAATCACACAACACTGGTGTAAACATTGCCAGACCAAAATGATACATATGGAAATGCTGAATGGCAAAGTAGTAACATTTATCTTTTCTTTTTTACATATGGAAATGCTGAATGGCAAAGTAGTAACATTTATCTTTTCTCTTTTTTTTCCTACAGAATGCCATTTCTTTGCTCAGTATTGCAGAAACTGTGGGCCCAGTGTAAGCCCTCCTGAAGGCATGCGGATCAGAGGCTTGCTCTGAGCCAGCCTGAGGACCAGCAGCAGAGCACTCAGGTTAGAGGCTAACTTATTCTGTTTCTCCTGAAGAGTAATGGATCCCTGAGGACTGGTTTAGTAATATGGCCACACCAGTTCTGGCATAAAACTAGTCCATGCAGATTTATCTTGAGCAGCTAGGCACTATATTGTTTTGCAGACTTATTCTCCATCTTAATTCACCCTTCATGTGGTTATAGATGTGTGCCCACACCACCATACCTGACAGACTCATTTTACTTTTTATAATGTTCTACATAATAACCAAATAAAACCAGTTTAGCTTGCAAACAGTTGGGTTGTAGTCCTACTAATTAGGAGGTTACTTACTAGCAGAGTAATGTAAAAGCTCATCCCACAATGGCTTTACTGCTAGACTGCTGTAGTGTTGGAAAATGCCAGATAATAATAAATGGTGCAGGTTACAGGTGGTAAGCAAGACTTCAGGAGGTCTGCTTCCAAACTGCACGCATTCAAGCTTGGCAGTGGTTTGTTACCTTCTACTGCCAGATCAGGTATTCACCCTGGAACAACTCCCCTTCCTACATGAAATCTCTAATAATGTAACTTGCTAACAGCTTCTTCTGGAAATGAAACATGCAGGACCACAAGTGAAGTGCCCCTAAATACAAACAAAGAAGCTGAACAATCAGCAAGCTAAAACAGAGTTAAGATAATCAGCTGAAACATTGAGGAACAACAAGAAAATAACAAGAAATAACGTGTAACACAAGACAACACCAAAGACAACTTCTAATAGTACACAATCCACATGTGTGTGTATGAAGGAAGACTATGGGATAACAAATAATTATACGTACTGTGATTTTTCAGCAGTTAGATATAAAATTTGTTACCATTTCTTTACAAATAATGAAGTAGGACTAGGGAATAAATGGAGGAGTTAATGGACTCTTAATAGGGGAGTTGAAAAGAGAGGCTAGACATCTTCCTTTATGGATATGTGGCCAATATATTTCACATCTCTTCCCTTATGGGAAGAAAATATAGGTAAGTTCAAAAAGTACCACCTTTTAATTCATTTATTTGTTTTAAGTTTATGACTTGTTAGGTTATGAAGTTATGATTCCAGTTGCTATTGGCAAGAGTATTGAATTATGCTAAAAATATCAGAAAGGCTCCCATCAACTACAGAGGGTGCAGCGTCAGACTGAAGGTCTGACCCTGAAGGTCAATCTGACATCTGCTGTGCCCTGATAAACTGCTCAGATATGCAAATGTTAAGTCTTCTACTATCAAGTAGTAATAAATTATTTTCTACTAGCAAGTAACACACTATGTTATCACTATAACAGCTTAATACCTACTTAAGAACTGTGACAGCACAGGACTTGCCAGGCTGCAAGTTCTTCTGTTTCTTCACAACTGCTACTTTAGTTAGAAATCAATTACAGAGCTTTGAGAGTAAATAAAAAACTGGAGTATTAAACAAATAATTGCCAAAATTTGCCTCGGTGGTGGTAATGACAGTGCATTTAATGGCAAAGCACTTAGTGCGCTATAGACATTCCTTTCCCTGAGCCTATCGTATTTAAATATTTCTAACCAAATTATGTAAATATTGTAATTTTAGATTATTCCTTTAATCATATTGCAAATCACTTGGGCTAAATATTTCAGTCCAAGGGCAACAAGATCTGTAGATAGGTCTACAGAAAAGAAAGCAGGTTCATACACATTTTGCATGATATTCATATTTATGTTATTCCTCAATAAAAGGTCCAAAAAAGAGGACCATGCCATACTTATGAAAATATTTAGTGATGATAAAACTGAATCATAAATATTAAGTTCTAGAATTTAGTATTTTTATGAAGATGCATTTGAAGAATTCTCAGTATTTGTCAGATATCATAGACCCCCTCCCTTCACCTTTGTATGTTACAGTACCTTGAGAAGACGCTTCTTGAATCACAGACAGTGAAAGGATTACCAGGGATACACAAAGTATGTTCCATATGATCATTACTTTCAGGTACGACATTATCCCTAAAAAGAAATAATCTCACATCACTGCATGCAATTCAGTTTATCTGTTTATAATTTTTTTTAAATTGTAGTGCATATCTTTATACATAATACTAGTTTAATAACAACATAAAACTAATACTAAAATTATTCAAGGACAAATTGCTAATTTAGAATTACTCCATAAATTCTCTCTTGGTTATTAGTTGATTAGCTGTTAAATTTTGTAATTGGACTAGTGAAATTAATTATTAACAAATAATGGAAGAAATTTTTTGCAGAATTCTGTTACATGAAAACTACAGTCAGAGTTTTCTCCTCTTAACATGGGTGCATTTCAATACAACAGTTTCTAAGGTTATAATACCAATAAATATAAATGTAAAGTAAAAAAAAAAAGCTGTCAAAATATTAGTTATTAAGCAACATAATTTTATAAACCATAATCTAATATTAGTGTTCAAGTATGTCAAATGGAAAAGTAGGATAAAAGTAAATTTTCTTTCAAAAGGAAAACTTGTCTGGTTTTTCTGTTCCAGTTCATAGCTTTCCTTTTGAAGTAGAGCACTTTGATCAAAACGCTCAGAGTAGAGATAGATATTACACTTACCTAACAAAGAGTATGTCTGCTCTCAGTGGTGTTTCGGATGCCTTATATATTGCTTTGTAACTGTGCTGGGGTTAACTAATTATCTTATTAAACAAAACCGCCAATGACAGCTTATGACAGCAAACTTTCCACATAAGTTGGAAGAGATCCCAGATGACTAGACTAACACAACATCTGGAAAATACTCCCATTAAGAAAAATGATTACAGGAAAAAACTAAATAGGGACTTACTAGTCAAAACACATTTTGATTACTGAGTGAAATGAACAAATTGTCCTGGATGCATCTGGAAGGTATTAGATATTATTGTACAGCAATAAAAAATCATTATAGGCAGAATGTGAGTATATTTTCTTTCTTGTCAAATGTATCTGAGGTGACAGTAGCCTAGAATTATGCAGTAGTATCTGCTACTGATGGTGTATCTTCTCCAAAAAGTTTTAAGATCTAATTCATGCAGTCATAAGTAATTTATCAGTTCTGCACTGAATAATATATAGTACTTTTCCCTGAGCTGAGTGGAAATTTTGCCAAGATACTGGCTAGAAATCAAAGAATTTAGTTGAATCTCAAATTTATTAAATATATTGTATGTAAAGCATCAAACATGAATGAAAGAGACTTAAATTGCTTCAATGTTCTTTGTGTTTATTGGTTCCAGATTCAGGGTGCTGGAAATGGTTATTTGCAACTCTCTCTCAGAGCTAAAGGGGGGCTTCTATTGAACTTTTTAATGGTCCTGACTCTCTGAGTCTGGAGGTGATTTGTTGTTCAGAAACTATCCCAAAGGCCAGGGAACTTTGATACTTCTGTTTTACGGCATTACTTGAATTCTGAAGTAATTCTGCTATCCCAAAATAATAAATATGGTATAATACACATTGATCCCACTTGAGGAAAACACTTAAGCATGAGCTTGAGTCTCTTAAGGAAAATAATGTAACCATCTCTGAAAAGGAGTGGATTTAGACATGTGCTTGAATGTTTTCCTCACATGGTCCAATGATTGTGCAGCGTTAGTATTTTTATGCTAGATTTTCTTTCTGATTTCTTTACTGTCACAATAGAGGCAGTTTCATTCAATCTTTCTGCATTGTGGACACTTCTAATTGCTTTCATATCACAGCCATTCTCCAATTAATTGATTCCAGTCAATGAAAGAGTGCTTTTTCATTGCTCTGGGAACACACACAATCTTTGTAAATGTTTCTAGAGTTGCTTAGACAAGTGTTAAGTGGGAGAACTTGCATACTGTTGATTTGCTATTTGAGGTTCTCTGCCAACTGCCAGCCTGTTTAAGATTTAGCTGTTGTTCTACTTTGTGGAAAAGAGAACCCAAGGCTCTGAGATTTTCAAGGAAATGCATACTACATGTCTTATTACAAGAACTTCAATACTGTCTCTAGTGGAGATGACTATAAGCTTGATAACGAAACAATGTGGTTTGAGAAGGTACCTGTCTATGCATATTTAAAGCTCAAGGAAGTAATGTTTAGGGTAGCTAAATAGCATTGACATGAGGTTGGTTTTCTAGAAAAGTACTAAAATCCTCATAACTTCAATAATTTATAATTTGATCAAGCAAAACATTTAAGACTACGTTATTGAGTATATCCGTTGATAGCCATGATATGGTATGGTGGAGATACGTTGACTTCTCCATCATTTCACAGCCAATACAGCTGTGAGTCCCAATTGATACAGGCTGTCCACCTGAGGTTTAAAAATATATATAACGTAGTAAATAAGAAGTAACAAAAGCTCAAAAGTATTATCTTGCTTCTGTTAACATGCCAGTACTCAATTAAATCATATGAAGACAATTAGAATCATACACAACTTGAAAATATGGGTAGTCATGATTGGCTGCTATGTTTATTATATTAGGGCTGGGTTCATTTTGGTAGGGTTGTATTGTTTCATTTCTCTTACAAATGAGGTTTTTGGATTGTTAGAGGTGATGTGGGGTTGAAGAGTTTCAGTGATGAGTTCCCAAACTGCAGTTACTGGATTTCAGTTGCTTTCATCTTCATTTGGAGTGTGTATTTGTTATAGTTGAATGAATGTTAGGTGGTCATTAAAGTTTCTTCAGCATTAGTTATAGAAGCTCCAAATAGAAACTGATACTGCACGGTGTTTTCTTTCCTTCAGGTCAATGTAATTTTAGGTAGCAGTATCTGACAAAATATGCTGGATTTTTACAAACCTGTATGAGTTTCACTTACTTTTGTCATGCATGAAAACTGAGGTTGTCATAAATATGCTCTTTTCCTTGTGCAGAAAAGAATACATTTGGAAATATTTGTGTGGCTCTTCTTTATAGTATTTTTTTCTATATAATTTAATATTAGTATAAAAGAATGTACTTTTTTAAAGACTGGTTGAAGATTAAATAGAAAGGCTTTTTTGGAGGAAATGAGTACAGATTGATTTCCAGTTCTGTGACAGACTTGGTGCCTGAGTTTTTCAGAGGTGCTAGTTAAACACTTTCATAAAAATCTCTTTTTTCATAACATACATATTATTAAGCTCCTTTTGCAGGTAGGTCTAGCCTCCATGTATACTGTATGGGATAATTCCATAAGTGGGTTAACAGGACGTGAAAAGACACCTTTAAATTGTAGTATTGCAGCTGCATTATAATGGTATCTGTGTTGACACTTCACAGTGTGTGATCAGGCAACGGTAAAATGGGATTTGCATTATGACCAGCTTCTGCTGGTCTTCTCTTTATTTTCGGGGGGGGCTTCAAATTCCTGCTTTGCATTATTGTCATGGTTTTGGGGAGGCATTAATGATGGACAGAGTTTGCTCCTGTTTTGCAAAGGTTTGTGTGCCAGTGAAAAGAGCCATAAGAGTAACAGTGAAACATTAAGCAGGGAGCTGCATGGATGAGGAAGGGTGAGGTGGGGACACATCTCAAACTTTTTTGGGTTGAGCTCCGTGTGAAATGGACTTGGAGCTGTAAAAAAAAAAAAGAGAAAGTACAAAATGTTCCATTTGCTTATTTTTATTTCTGCTGCACTTAGGGAAATAGGACTCATTATATTCTTGATGAGTAAATAAAGATACATGACTTCACCTTGGAGCAACATAGGGGACCTAATATTGTGGTTAGCCACTCCAGTTGGAAGATAACGTTATTTGTTGTCTGATACTCGGTTGCTTCAGTTAAGTATCAACTGACCAGTCATTTAATTTGGCAAGGGTTTCAGGCAATATAAACCACACATTAAATCTTGTCAGTTGTATCCAAAATCCTATGTCTATTTCCTGTCTTCATTAGTTGACTGCATTTAAAAAAAAAAAAAAAAAGAAAGAAAAAAAATAAAAAGAAACCTTTCCCTGCAAGTGGTGCTTTGCTCATATATTGAGATCATCATAGTTACGGTACTATTATTATTATCTTTTATTTCTGAATGAATGGATTCCTTACGTTGGTGTCCGTGACTCAGGCATATTCTTATGCCTTTTCAGGCCATGGTTTTTTTGGAAGTTCATCAGTCAGTCACATTTCTGATAGTGGTTTGGGGGAGTGTTCTTATCCACTGAGGATCACATGGAAAATGTAAGCCGGTAAAATCACGGAAAATGGTCATTGTGTTAATCTGGGTCTGGTCTGACAGATGCCTCATTGCTTTTCAGTCTCATCATTGATACCCATCAGTATCCTAAAAATATAATGTAATTTTTGTATAAGAACTAAATTGTATTTGGAGTTATCTGAATCGCTCTGGTAACTCCATTGGCAGAAGTTATATCGAGAAACCAAGCTTAACACATGTGAAGAAAGTCAAAAGAAGACAAAAAAGCATGTATTTAGAGTAGTGTTGGTCTGATAAATATTCACTGATTACTGTACCTCTTTAACCTAGAAGGTATCATAGAAGGAATTTAATTGAAAGTTAAGTGAGAGTGCTGGAAGTCTCATTAGATGAGTTACCAAGAAAAACTACTAAGAATTGCAGAAAGATTTTGGTTTTACATGAAGGACTGACACTTCCAGGCTTCTGGACTTGGATGGGCAAGGAAAGAGAACGATGTAGAGGAAGCAGAAGCCCTAATGTGGAAAGGGCATGGGATTACAATTAATTTTTCAGAGTCATCTGATAATTGATTGAAGGATGCTTCTGTATTGCTTTCTATAATCAGTCACTTTCTTCCATGCCAGAACTGGCTACATTTAATTGGCTTATTTTATTTTATTTAGTTAAAGCAAAAAAAAATTTATTATATGCTGGATTTTTACAAACCTGTATGAGTTTCACTTACTTTTGTCATGCATGAAAACTGAGGTTGTCATAAATATGCTCTTTTCCTTGTGCAGAAAAGAATACATTTGGAAATATTTGTGTGGCTCTTCTTTATAGTATTTTTTTCTATATAATTTAATATTAGTATAAAAGAATGTACTTTTTTAAAGACTGGTTGAAGATTAAATAGAAAGGCTTTTTTGGAGGAAATGAGTACAGATTGATTTCCAGTTCTGTGACAGACTTGGTGCCTGAGTTTTTCAGAGGTGCTAGTTAAACACTTTCATAAAAATCTCTTTTTTCATAACATACATATTATTAAGCTCCTTTTGCAGGTAGGTCTAGCCTCCATGTATACTGTATGGGATAATTCCATAAGTGGGTTAACAGGACGTGAAAAGACACCTTTAAATTGTAGTATTGCAGCTGCATTATAATGGTATCTGTGTTGACACTTCACAGTGTGTGATCAGGCAACGGTAAAATGGGATTTGCATTATGACCAGCTTCTGCTGGTCTTCTCTTTATTTTCGGGGGGGGCTTCAAATTCCTGCTTTGCATTATTGTCATGGTTTTGGGGAGGCATTAATGATGGACAGAGTTTGCTCCTGTTTTGCAAAGGTTTGTGTGCCAGTGAAAAGAGCCATAAGAGTAACAGTGAAACATTAAGCAGGGAGCTGCATGGATGAGGAAGGGTGAGGTGGGGACACATCTCAAACTTTTTTGGGTTGAGCTCCGTGTGAAATGGACTTGGAGCTGTAAA